CCCCAAGTTTTTCAGAGCTGCCAAATTGTAGAAGGCCTCTGACTCAGCTGTGATGTAGTAATTTTCAGTGTTTTTCCAAGGTGTTAAGATTATCTTCAACAGATCTTCCAATTAATTTTTCTGGCCTTTAAGATGCCATATGCTCACAAACATTACATCTTCAGGTGTAAGCTTTTCCTCATTCACTAAATTAGTAAATAATCTTTGCCCAGATAAGAGGTTTGCAGCCTCCGCTCCGTTTGCAAGATTGTCCCCTCTTGAAGTTCAGTGACGAATCACTAACACTTCTGTTAGTAACTTTCTAGTCTAGAGGAGTACAGGCATGACCTTCAACTCATGCAAGATTGAATTGCGCTTTACTTTTTAATTAGACTTATCACAGAACAGTAACTGATCAAGGACCCACCCAAAGTATTTAGGGTCCAGTTTTACAGGGTGAGTACTGTCCTTCACTCTCTTGCAAATATCTAACATCATTCATTGTCACTCTTGTTGCCACATTCCGTTTTGGAATTTTTTATCTGAAGGCCCTTAGCTACCACTTGGCTTAGCTAAAACTGAAATCTGAAGGTTTACATACAAGCCTGCCAATGCCCATTGCAATCAAAGAGCACTCTCTCACTGAGGTCTTGCATTAGGTTTTGTGGCCCGTCAGCTTAAGCAGGTGAATGCCTTGCTCCAGGCCTTGGTCACTTATGCCCGCCTCTGAGCCTGTATCTCGCTCTTTGGGCATAAGAGGCTTTATGGTGAATCAGCTCAGGATATGATGACCAACCAAAACGATAGTGCTGTCAAGAAAATTAAAGGCCCTGTGTTTTTAGCTGGATCACTTCTCTATTTTAGTTTGGTGTGGCATGAGCAGGAATAAGTAGCCAGAATGCAGAGGTGGTAGAACAGGATTGGGTGGGAGAGGTTGGGATGAGAGGAAGATGGAAGGTAATTGCTTACATTGCTGAAAAAAGCTACTTGCAAAGGACATTTACATGACATCTTTAGTAATATAAGCTTCTACGAACCTGTGTATTAGTGAAACAGTCCTTTTGTCACAGAATCACAGAATGTTCGGGGTTGGAAGGGACCTCTGTGGGTCATCCAGTCCAACCCCGCTGCCAAAGCAGGGTCACCTACAGCAGGCTGCACAGGACCTTGTCCAGGTGGGTCTTG